GCTGTCGCTTGGTTGCAAATTTCCTCATCTCTCCTCCACCCTAAAACAAATTCTTTACCATAAAGCCAGCCGAGTATTCTTCCCTTATCCCTATTCACAGAACTAATGGCCTCATGGAGTGGTCAGTTTTAGTTCAAATCATCTCAGACATATTCAAACTGATCTAACAACTTCAAACATTCCTAGTTTCATTTTTAATTTCAGAGCTTGCTGACCAGGCAGCTTCTGATCTATTTTCTATCAATTATGCTAAACTTTGATGGATCTGTCTTTCCTATACCTTCCTATCCAGAACCGAATGTCTCAATGCACCTTTTTCCATACCTTCCTCTTTCATTTGTCTTGGATAATTCTGCACAAATAACTAAAATAATTTAGCGATAAATAAGCGATCTCGCTTTATCACAAATCAGAAGTAACGGATTCAGAAAATGTTAATTAACCACTTCGTCCGCCCTCATTCACGCTCATTCTAATAGAGCATTAAGTTTACCATTTAGGCGTTGATTTTCCGATCATACACTCTCCATCTTGCCCTAATTGCCTTACATTATAAAAGTAAAATTGTGTTCAGCTTGGCACACTTGACTGTTGCCCCTCGGTGCTGCGATTTGTCCAATTAAGTTGCCAATTTCTAGCTAAATGGCTTGTTAATTGGGCTAATTTTAGTGCTCAGCTGCCTTCATCTTATCTGATATATTTATCTCCGTCATCCTAATTAATTACGTCTCATGTACGTTGTCTCTCACCATCGGGGAGGCTCATTGAGGTCGGTTTTTGATGTGGCTAAATGTTGTATGCCTGATCGCACATTTTGCCTCATTATTCCACTTTTGTTCACTTCAGGACGCTTTATCCTCTCCCACTTAATCCTCACCTTTTTCCTTTCCTTCCAGCAGTTCCCATTGATACACATCACTTGCACCAACACACTTCCAATGTGTCCATGCGGCTTATCGCGTTTGCACTAGTCTGTCGCCATAATGAATGCTCCGGTCTTATCTGCAGCTCCTCCCCTTTTCGGGTGTAACCTTGGCGGTTGGTTTTGCTGAGCTCAGCCTCCAGTGCTGCCAATTTGCAGACCTTTTTTCCACTGGCCTCCTTCCGGTATCACGTCACTACAAGCGCTCGTGTAGGCAGGGCGACAAGAAGGCAGGCCCCCCTGCGGGGGGCCTAGGGGAGGGGCAGGGTGCTTCCCAGACAGGCGGCCAATTGCACCTCATCTTCACTCTCATCAGAACCTCCTCCTTCTGGACTTTAACTCAGCCGCATCATTCATCACCACCACAACTACTATTATCATCATCATCATCATCATCATGCCGCGACACAACCTTGCTCTGCATGATCCAACCTGCGACCTGGCAGATGTGG